GGGCAGCGGGGCCCCCGGCCACTCTCAAAAGGCCCTCGGACCGAGACGTGCCCGCGTGGCCTGGCGCGGTGACGCACACCCCGGAGCCAAGTGCCCCGCCTGCATCCCCGAGGGGACCGCCCTGGCCGGTGAGGGCCCTGCTCCCCAGACGTCCCGCCCCGTCAGAGCAGGCCCGGCCTGGGCCCAGCAGGCAGCGGGAGAACAGCCGCCGACCGTGGGGACACCAGGGTTACACGGCAGCTCCAGGGCCGGCAGCCCGTGTGCGAGCCGCGTGTGCCCGGGCCCCGGCTCAGCCACCCTGACGAGCTTGGTGACTCCGAGCTCCCACTTGCAGAAAAAGGAGCAGCTGTTTGTTCCTTCCCGGGGGGCGGAGGGCGCTGGGGGTGCGGCCACAGGTCTGGGTGAGCCAGGGCGGTGGGGAGCGGGCAGGGTTGAGGCGGAGCAGCATGGAGGACCTTGGTGGCCACAGGCGCCAACACAGGCGCCACAGAGTGGCTGGTGTGTGTGTGCACGTGTGCATGTGTGACAGAGCCGAGCAAGGGCCCCCTCACAGAGCGGCGGGAACCGGCAGCGCAGGGACTGAGGTGGGACCGCGCTGCACTTGGGCCTGGGGACAGTGGGAATCCGCAAAGCAGAGGGCACCGGGCACCCAGAAGGCCCGGGGTCTGCCGGGAACGGCCAGCACTCCTTGGGCCAGGTGAGCTCTGTAAGGGGCCGGTGGGCGGCTGCACCTGGAGCATAACTGTGCGGCCGGCACACGGGGTCAGAGTGCAGGATGCAGCGGCTGTGCAGCTCAGACGGCAGCCACAGGTGACACGACTGAGACCGCAGCAGCCGCAGGCGACACGACGCAGGGAGATGGGCAAGGGCTGCTTCTGCTGTGAGGCAGCCCAGCCCAAGAAGCCACAGGCAGGCAGTGGCCAAATGCCAGTGGGGAAGCAACATGGGCAGCCACGCTTGGCCCAAGCCGGGCCTGGCCTCCCCAGTCCTGCCCAGCCGCTCACGGGGTGTCTGCCCAAAGGCCCCAGCGTTGAGGAGGGACATTATGGACAGAGAAGTGCTTCAGGGGTTTGAACATCCCTTCCCTGTCACAAAGCAGGGACAGAAGAGACGTGTCTTCACTGACAGGGACAGTGTCTTCACTGCCACTTCCCGGTGTACCCAGGGCTGTCAGCGTAACCTGCTCGGCCATGGCAGAGCAGAGCGTGACCCTGGGCAGTGCCCCCTCCCACACCACACCCGCCGTCTCCTACTGGCAAACGTGGGCCGGGCTAAGGCCTCTCCAGGAAGTGGTACTAGTTCAGGATCCAGTCCTCTGCCTGGCACTGCGTCTGCTGGTACTTCACAGCAGAGACGATTCCAGCCTTGTGGGAAAAGGGTGTGAAGTGCCCACCACCAGGCAGTTTCTACGTGGGGCACGTGCGGCCAGGGGCTCGTATTTATTTTAGGTTTCTGCCACAGGGAAAACGAGATTTCATTCTCAGTGGGGAGGGCCACACTGCCCTCCCTTTCCCTCCGTTCTCTCCTTGGGGTCTTGGGCATGCAGAGCATCCGACTCCAACTGTGTGGTCAGCCATGTGGGGTCCAGCACCTTCACACCACCTGCTGGCCTGCCACTGAGTCTTAGCATCTGGGGCACAGGGCACAACGGTCACTCCTGTCCCAGCGGGCCCACCCTGCCCAGGACACAGCCAGGACAAACCACCACTGAGGGGCCGCCTTGGCGCCTCCCTATGCAAAGGCGTAAGACCAGGCCCCGGAAGACTAAAGGCTCCTCCATGAAGCCTTTCAGGCAAAACAGACTCAGACCGTGTTTCTCGCTGAGCCTCTCAGTTGAGGGAAACATGCCTTCCGGCACAGTGAGGCTGCAATGGTGCAGCCCTTTGCTATCCGGCTAGATGCTGCAATTAGAATGGACATCTTTCAAACATAAGATGCAATGTGGCTGTTAACTGCAACAATTTTAACCCAGAAAGGAAAACCCAACAACAGCTGCTTTAATATGCAACCCAGTACCTTCCTTGGGAAAGCAGAAAACACCTCAGCTGCTAGTTCCGCCATGCCAGAGAAGCTACTGACTTTTAACAGTCAACCAGGGGAAGGGCAGGGGCCAGAGACGCCAGAAGCCCAGGGGATAGACAACAGCCCCCGGAGTGGGTCAGGCCTCTCGACGTGCACCCCATTGTTGCGGGGGTCTCGGGTTGTTAAGTTTGTGTCCTGCGAGCACGGAAAAGCGAAGCGGTTACTAGGAGGGAGAACAGAGCTCCCTGCACGAGGGGTCCCGAACGGGCTGCCGAAGGAGCAGAGTCAAGGGCTTTATCCAGCAGTGGGAGCACCGGGTTCAGAAAAGCTCCATGGTGGTCTGGGCGATGCACTAGCCTGTCCGAGGGGTCGGCAGACCCTGTGCTCTGTGCTTGCTGGCAGAGCAGAATGAAGTTGGCCAACAGGAACTTGCCCTGTGTTGGGAGCCCTCACGCAGCCAGCTCGTTTACTGAAACCTAGCCACTGCGACTCCATCTTGGGGGAAGCTTCCTGTGTGTGTCTGGGGCCTTTACCCGCCTGAATGTTTAGTATCTCCGACCTTACCACCAGGCCAGACGAAGGCAGCTGTTACGACCTTACCACCAGGCCAGATGAAGGCAGCTGTGACGGTGGGAAGCAAGACGCCAGCGCATCCGTGCTTGTAAAGAGAGCACACACGCCATTTACAAACTAGAGATATAAACGTTTATTTCACAACTCTGTCATAATTCACTTGCTAGCAAGACACGTCCTGGGGGCTACGGCTGAAAACCAGGATGCGAGCTGCCACGTATCGCCCAGGCAGGGCACAGGCGTGGTCACTCAGGGTCGATGCGCTCCTCTCTCGGGCAGCGAGGACTAGTCGCACCAGCAGGTCCAGCCCCGGATTTACTTAGAGCCACCTCCTTTTCTAGGGCCATTAGTCCTCATGTCGTGCCAGATTTTCACTAGAGGCTCTCTGTTCTTCCAGATGAGTTCATGACCGTAAGTAATATACCATCTGGAGAAGAGGAAACCAAACCGGGTCCACGTTACCGTGCGAACGCTAAGTACCAGGATGACATCACGGGGCGTTTGTGACCAAGTCTGAGGGCCCAAGGGCAGGAGGAAGGGGATCACGAGCAGGGAGGTACTCATCTCTCTCTCTAATGGGCACACATGTACTAAAAAAAATAACAGAAGTTAAACGAATTAAGGGTCAGCCAATAGCATGGTGCTTAAGGTAGCCACTGTATGCTCGAGTCCCAGACCCAGACACGTGGACACGTGTGTGTGCGTAAAGGAGGGTGGTGGGACAGAGGGGCTGCGGCGTGACCCTCTCCCCTGGAGGGTGCATTCTCTTTCTGTCTCTCTAAAAGCAAGGACATGTACCCTCTGGGAAATTTTTTTAATTTTATTTATTCAGTCATTTAATTTGACCAGAGAGAGACACGCAGAGAGAGACACGCAGAGAGAGGGAGGGAAAGTGAGAAAGGAAGCCACCAGGTCCAGGACTCGACCAGGTCCTGGACACTTCCACATAGTCAGCCACGTGGAAGTGTCCAGTGCCTCAACCACCATGCTACCCATTGTCCCCCCCCACCACTGGAAAAATTTTTAAATATAAAAATGTCTAAATCTTTTTAATCTGCTTATTTCAAGCAAAGAGTCAATTGCTTTAATCTTATAAGTACATGCTTCTGATTCTAAGTCCAAATGTCATTGGTCATTTAGCTAAGCCAAAATTAGGAAATTTTTTTTGAGAGGTTTCTGCTATAGGGCACGTGCGCTCGCCAGAAAGAGAGAGACAGAGAGACAGAAAGTAAGAAATCACCCCCCAGAGGGGATGGCCACGCAGCAATCCCTTCTCCTCCATTCTCCTCTCAGGATCTCGGGCACGCACGCACACGTGCCTGGTGTGAGTTTAAGCCACCGGGTCCGGGACTCAAACTGCGGTCGACTACATGGGAGTTCAGTGTTATTACACTAACTGCTGAGTTATGACACTAACTGCTGGTCCCCTGACAAGTTACCTTCAGGTCATTTCTTATCTGAAAAATGGAACACCTCACAGGACTTTAAGAATATTACACTAGCCCTTAACTCATAGAATGAACGAGAACCAGCTCCTCAGCTCAGGCTACGCAGATGCCGCGGAAGCTGGGAGGACTGACAAGGCGCTCTTCAGTGTGTGGGAGGATGGACTATGGAAACTGTGCATGGTTTCATTGTTTTGCACTAAAATTCATTGTTTCCCCAAGAACACAATGAAGCCCCCTCATGAAGACCAGGAGTGTGCACGCAGAGAGCAGCAGAATCAACACGAAAAATAAAGTACAGGAAAAAGAGAACCGGCAGGTGGTGTGTTAAGGCCCTGGACTCCCACATGAGTGACTGCGGTTTGAGTCCCAGACCCAGAGGCCTGAAAATCATGCCGGCGTATGTGCATGCGTGCCCAAAATTCCGAGAGGAGAATGGAGTAGGAGGGACTGTGGCGTGGCCCTCCCCCTGGACAGTGAGTTCTCACTTTCCCTGTCACTGTCTCTCCGGCAAGCACACGTGCTTGGCAAAAACTAGAAACAACAAAACAGACATTAGATGTCCAAATGTAGATGAGAGGGTCAGAAAAGGTAAACTCTGGTTATGGTCGAGGCCCAGTAAAAATGAAAAGGAGTTAAAATTAGAAATAGCAAAGAGAAAAGTGCCTCCAACTTTCAGATCTGGGACTTCAAAATGCATCTGATGCATCGCTTCGGAATGGAAAAGGGCACGTGAGCACAGTTAAGGAGTGAGAGCCTGCTGGGAGCAGCCCGTAGGTACCCACGGGGGCCCGCACAAGCTCCGCGCACAGCAGGCCCTGGCCCTCAGTCCTCGTGCCTCCCGTGCTGTGCCATCACATCAGTTTCTACTACTTACAACGCGTGCTGTTAAAGCTAGAACTCGCATGCTATTCTTTAATCATCACTAAAACTTATAAATGGCATAATGGCATTTAATTCCACCGCCTACTGGGCAAAACTGCTTTACTTAGAATAGATTTTTCTACTTTTGCTTAAATTGACAAACTTAAGGTATCCACCATCATGACACAAAAACGAGTCAAGACAAAAGGCAACAACTATGCAAGAAATGACAGGCCCAGCTAGTAGATGGCACGCAGGCTGGGCAGCTGGGTCCCGCACGGCTGACATCGCGGGCTGAGTCTCAGTCCAGGTGGTTTGAAAAAACACCCGGGCGTGAGCACCTGTGTGCCCCAAACCTCGAGAGCATGGAAGAGAAGAAGCTGCGTGGCTTCCCCACTGGGGGGTGATTTCTCACTTTGTCTCTGGCAAGAGCATGCACCCTACAGCAAAGAACTAAAGAAAGGTGGGCCATTAGGGGCCTAGTGTGTCAGACAGACACGGCCTTCCCTGGTGCTCTCCTGGCTGGGGGGCTCCCACAATAGGGCATCCCACAGATGCTGCTGAGCTCCTGTGCCTTAGGCAAGGCCCGCACCTGAAGCGCAGATGGAAGCAGCTTGACCACAGCGCCTGCCGCACTCGGTACAGGGTGATGCAGCGAACCAGGCGCGGGTGGGTTTAAATCCCCTAAGGAGCCCTGCCTAAGTGGAGCTGCTTAAGCAGAGCTCCTTAAAAGCTGTTTGGCCTGGGTGAGGTCACTCTGTGCCCCAGATTCCCATCAGTAAAACGAGGGCAACAGCGTGACACGGGTAATGAGCAGGGAGCCTGCGTGGACAGAGGCACAGGCGGGGGCCCACACCAGCCAGTGTCCCCGGTCACAGCCTTGGTCACGCCACGTCCTCCACGACGCCCGCTGCAGACAGAAGTGGCTCTGCAGCTCCGTGCACCTGGACAGCTCAGGGCACAGGCAGGGGAGCGGAGGGCAGAAAAGCCTGAGGGCCACATGAGGGCTGAGGGCTGAGGGCTGAGGGCTGAGGGCGGGACGGGGAAGCAGCCCTCAGGAGGTGTTAGCAAAATGAACAGATCAGTTCGGTTGACTTGGGGATAAGGGTAGAGCAAAGGGACCGATGATCTTTCTAGAAACGTCCAGGCGGGGGCGGGGCTGAGGTCATATCCCATTTCGCATGGTGAAACCAGGTAAGGCTAAACCCCCCACGGAGGGGGTCCTCACCCTCCCAACCCCCCTCCTGCCTCCACCCACCCTCTGCCTTCCTGAGGGGAGGGAGGGAGACCGGAGGAAGGACTTACATGCCGAAGAGCGCTCCCCCGAGATGGGCTGCGTGATCAAAGAACTTCCATCCCAGGATCATCCCCGCAGTATCCATGGCGATAATGGCTTTTAGGGCCTGAAAGCCAGCGAGAGAGAACAGAAGCCGTACAACTGGACGCCCCAGCTGTGCACCACCGACCCCAGGACTTGCCTTCAGGAGAATACTCACGTTCCCGGCCGTGAATGTGAACATTGGAAGGAAGATAATGGCGAGCCTCCCTTCTGGAATCTTGGTGCAGACAGCAGCCAGGACGGTCATGATGGCGCCTGACTGCAAACGAACGCATGGGAAACCGGAAACTCAGTGAGCAATGCTTGGTGCCCAAGAGAGGTCACTCGCCATGCGCTAGGGAGCACGGAGCGTGGCGGCTTCTGGTCACTACGTGCACAGCATCAGGCCAGGCGCTCCGGGGGTGGCAGTAATTGCCTGGAAAGACTGAACTTGTTACAGGGAGGGAAGATGCCCACCCGTGAGTGCTTAACGCATGTCAGGGGCAGCCCTAGAGTGACAGGCATCCTTCTGTGTAGTGCTAGGAATGAACTCAAACTTCAGCAAGGCCCCGACCTGGGAGACAGCCTGCATTTGCAGTGGAGTCCACATGTGAGGGATTTCTTCCAAGTGTGACCTTTTACTGTAGAAACCCACGTGAAATTTGCATCCCACTCCACGAAGACAAACGCTTTCCCTAAAAGCTGTGAGTAAACACTGGGCCCCAGGGAAGTGGGCCTCTTTCCCAGGGCTCTGTAGGAGCGGCCCTCACAGAGTCCTCCAGGGACACACTAGCAGCTGCCTGCCTGGGAAGTGGTTTCCCAACTACCTCGCGCTGCAGAACAGAAATCTAAATTCAACAGAATCTAAAACCCACAGCTCGAGATCATCAACTACTTGTTATGGCTAAACAGTTTTCATTGTAGACATTTAGCTTTTTTTTCTTTTATAAGAGAATCACGTATCTTTCCTGGTCGCTACATAATTTTCCTAATTCCTATTGATAATGGCTATAAAGTATCTGCAGGATGAATTTAACATGAGCCCTGCTCCCAGTCCCTCTAACCCGGATCACTGTCCCCGTTTACAGCAGCCACCCCCTCAGACTCATCACTCGAGATTCGAGTCCTACTAGCGAGTCAGCGCCCAGCAAGGCCTGTGGGCCCACCTCCTGCAGCTGTCCCCAGAGCTGCACTTCAGGAAAACGTGCCCATTTCCCGCCACGAATGTGGACTTGCAGCACCACAGGAAGACGGAAATAAGGAAAAGCAAAACAGCAGTTGGGCTAGGGCCGGGAAGTCCAGCGCGCTGACATCTGGTAGAAGGAGAACTAAGCTCAGAACGAGTAAGTGATGCCAATTTCGCGAAGGGTGGCCAGGTGCTGGCTGGGGGAAAGGAGGTGGTAGAGCGTTCTAGGCAGAAAGACAGCATAAGGCAAGAGAAGGTCAACAAGCAGACGTGGCACAGGCTGCGGTGCGGAGGCCGCGCAGAACAGTGGGCAAAAGGGCCGCGGCTGTGTCCCCCAACAAAATTTTAACGAAGAGGAAAACCAATTAGGGGTTAGCATCCTGCTTAAGAGCACCTTAGGCATACTCACTGTGTACCATGGAGGTCAAATTCCAAATGAAACACACAGTCTGAGTCTAATGAGGGGCAGAGACAGACACTCTACAGAGCAACTGCCTGCACGGCTCAGGGGAAACGAAGGAAGGCTATGGAAATGGCCAGGTTTTAGGTGGCCACCGAGAAGGGATGGACGAAATGCAACACATGAGCTTAGGGGTAAATAACTATAAAGGATTTCACTGGAACGACTGACAAACTGGAATACGGGACTACAGATGAAATAAAGTATAACACCAATGTCCCGTTTCTTGAGTTTGATTAATAGTACTGTGAGATACGTCAGGCTACTTGTGTTCTCTGAAAAATACATGGAAGAATTGGGGCAAAGGACTAACATATGAAACCTCATCTAAAACCAGTTAGGAAAAGGACAACATAGACGTAATATGATAAAATATGGCAAATGTTAGTAACTGGTGAATTTGGGTCAAGAATATTTGGAGTTCTTTCATTTTTATTTATTTTTTAGAGAGGTTTTTGCTTAGAGTACATGCACTCGCCGGACAGACACAGAGACAGAAAACAAGAAATCACCTCCCAAGGGGGATGGCCACTCTGCAATACCTTCTCCTCCTGGGATTTTGAGTATACACACGCACACATGCCCAGCACAAGTTTTAAGCCACCGGGTCCAGGACTCAAACCACAGTCAACTTCGTGGAAGGCCAGCGACATAACCATTATGCCATCTGCTGGCCCCTCATTTTTATTTAACTTGCTATACATGTGCTCACCAGAGAGACAGAGGGGGAGGGAGAAAAGTACCCTCCAATAGGTGAGTGGCCATGCCACAATCTTTTCTCCATTTTCTCACCCTGTCAGGATTGTGAGCACACATACATCCAACCCAGCATGTTTTCAAGCCACCAGGGCTGGGACTTGAACCGCAGTGAGATCAGGTGGCTCTACCACTAAGCCTTAGAACAGCCCTGGAGATCTTCCTAAGTGAAATGTAGAGCTAGATGTTAGAAAAGAAAAGCTCCTAGAAGAAAATATCAGAAAAATCTTTGTGATCTTGCAAAATTTTGCCAACTAACTATAGGCACCAAAAACATAATCTGTAAGAGAATAAATGAATAATTTGGACATCACACAAGTTAAAAACTTGCTCTTTCCACCATCTTTCTGTGCCACCATAATGACCACCCTGGCTGGTGCCCTCAAGAGCATCAACTGCCGAAAAGAGAGGTCCACGCCAGGTTCTCACCAGGCCGTGCTCAGTCACTGTCCGCTCTCTGTGATGGTGAAGACGGTTACACTGGCGGATTTGAGGTCACAGATGACCACAGAGCTGCAGCAACGGCTGGGGCCCCCACTGGCAGGTCGGCCCCAGGTCTGATGTGCCACTCCGAGATCTAGAGACACGGCGGCATAATCTGCTCCCATCGCGTTCCTTTGGTTTCACTGCCCTGACAGCCTCGGCTGGCGTCATGGACCACGAGGAAGCAAAGACGGAAACGTACAGGAGGGAGAATCCGGAGATCCTTCTCTAGGGATGCAATACACACATACAAATAAAATGCCACAGTGGGCTCTAGTGCTCCCCAAACAGAAGCTTACGTTCTTCGGGAGACACTGCTAATAGACAAACCAGACCGAGAGGGAATATCTACCAGCTGTAAGTCTGGTAAGAGACTTGTATCTAGACCATATAAAGAACTCTCCAGATTGTGGTAGAAGTTTTTTTTTAAGAGAGATTTTTGCTGTAGGGCATATGTGCTCGTCAGAGAGACAGAGAGAGACACAAAGACAGAAAGCGAGAAATCACCCCCGAGGGGGGATAGCCACACCATAAACCCCTCCTCCCCCACTCACTTCTCGGGATTTTGGGCACACACGCACATGCGCCTGGCGTGAGTTTTAAGTCACTGGGTCCGGAATCAAACTCTGGTCGACTATGTGGGAGTCCAGTGATGTAACCACTAGGCCATCCGCTGACCCACGTAGCAACGTTTTTTTTTAATGGGCAAAATATTTGAAGAGACACTTCCAAGAAAATATACGGACAGCAAATATGCACAAAAGATAAGTCATATCATCATTAGGAGAGTGAGAATTACAGCCGAAGACACCACAGTGTAACTACTAGAAATCAAAAAGATAAGTCATATCAGTCATTAGGAGAGTGAGAATTACAGCCAAAGACACCACAGTGTAACTACTAGAAATCAAAAAGATAAGTCATATCAGTCATTAGGAAAGTGAGAATTACAGCCAAAGACACCACAGTGTAACTACGAGAAATCAAAAAGATAAGTCATATCATCATTAGGAGAGTGAAAATTACAGCTGAAGATACCACAGTGTAACTACTAGAAATCAAAAAGACTGACCATACGAAGAGATGCTAAAATGTAAAACATCTGGGGACCAGCAGTTGGCGTAATGGCTATGTCGATGAACTCCATGTAGCCAGTCGTGGTTCGAGTCCCAGACCCGGTGGCTTAAACTCACGCCGGTCACGTGTGCGTGCGTGCCCAAGATCCCGAGAGGAGAATGGAGAAGGGATTGCAGCGTGACCATCCCCCCTGGGGGGTGATTTCTCACTTTCTATCTTTCTGGCGAGCGCACATACCCTACAGCAAAAACCTCTCAAAAAATTAATAATAAGAAGAAATAAGAAATCTGGAACTCATATACACTGCTAGTAGGCAAGTATTATTATATAATACTATAATTGGGCTAGCAGGTGGCATGGTGGTTAAGGCACTGAACTACTACATGGTCAACCATGGTTCAAGTCCCAGACCTGAGGCCCACAATGGCATTAATATACCCAAAGATTTCACCTTGTGACACCATAAAGGAACTAAATTTTCACTTAACACATATTACAACTGATACAACCAAATCCAACACATTAATTTCTGGGGGACATCCAATCACTGCCCAATAAGACCAAATTCTAAAACATTAAACTTCATGAAACAAACTATTACCCAAAACGTAATGGAAACACGTTAATTTCTGGGTAACACCCAACCACTGCCCACTAAGACCAAATTTTAAAACATAAAACCTTAGGGGACAAACTATTACCCAAAACATAATGGGTCTCTACCCTTTCATATTATAAAGGTTATTTCTAGAAGACAGCATCCACTTCTTTTGATCACTGGTTTCTTAGTACCATCCTTGCGAAGGATTATTTCAGAATATAGAATTATTTTGTTTTAGGAATCACTAACTCTTTGAAGAAAATTATTATGAGTCCTAGAGATCCCAGATGTCCCTAGACCTAATACAAGCTGCCATCTGGCCTAAACAGGGACACTAGCTCAAGGGCACTCCCGTGAACGGGTGAGGCTAACTGCAGGACAGGACAGAGGAAACACGCTTCCAAAGGAGAGCCTAACAGAGGTGAGTGGACAAAGACACCCAGTGCCAAGGCGGAAACGGGGAGAACGTGAGGAAGCCATGACCTCGACTGTATGCTAAAGGGGAGAGGTGCAGGTGTTGGGATAGGCCAACTCTGGAGTAGGGACAGGAATCAGAATTCGACATTCGAGATCACCACGGCCATGTGACGGCCAAGATGGCTTCTATGTAAGTCTCTAACGCGTGGAGCTCTTCCTAACGCGTGGAGCGCTTCCGAGCTCCTCACTCGTACGTCCTGGTATGGTGTTAATCCCTGCCTGGGTGGAAACGCGTGCGTA